GGGCCCCGGGGACACCGTCACGGCCAGGCAGGCAGAGCCGCGCGAGCTGCTGCGGTCCAAGCACGTCACACGCCAGGCAACAACCTCAACCTGCCCTTCTGGCCCACTTTGAACCTTTCCTGACCTTGGCAGCGTTTTCTGCAAATTTCCCTACCTTAGAAATGTCACCAGAGATCTTATCTAGGCAAATAACCTAGATCTTATCGGGATTTGGTTTTTTTAGCACTTTGGATGTTTTCAGCTGTGTTTCATAGTTAGCACAGGGGAACGAACATACTCCAGCTGCCTTGTAAAGTCAAAGGTGTTGCTGCACCGCTAGTGTAATTCTTTGTATCTTCCCTGGTTTCCGAATGTGTGTATTTATTCGGGGGTAGGAGTTATAACCAATTGCACGTGTGCCACCTTGTGCCGGAGAGCAGTACAGAAAGTTGGTCATTTGGTTGGTTTGCCCAAGAATTGCTCCAAATTTTATTTAAAAGGAAAAACAAACAAGTTTCCAGCCGCATGCTTTTTATGAAAGCAACAAATGGGGGCTTGTTTGGTTTCCTAAATCCAAAAACTGAGCATTAAATTAAATTTTGGGGGGTTGAGAACCTAGCTATTTAATCTGCCTAGACTGCTGCAGACCTTGAAATCTTCTGGGAACGCTGCCATTCTCCAGTTTTCTCCATTTAAGGCTGATTTTCGTTTTCCACCTCTCATTTTTTTTTTCCTCTCTCGTGCTTCCCCAGACACAAAAAAAAATCCTAACATCCTCAACGGTCACAATCCAGTCCTGGAGGTCACCCGGTCTCCCCATCCAGCTGGGCTGCTTATCAGGACAAGAGCAGGTGAGACTCTGATCTGAGACTTTGTGATGGCTGCTTCTCCCAGGTAGGACTACAAAACAAAAACAAAAAACTCCCCACCATAACGCACCTCCTGTCCAAGTGCATCCTGGTTTTCATTGCACTCTTTACTGCCAGCCATCTGGGATGTCTGAAGGACTTTCACGTGCTCTCAGAGAGCCTTGAGCTTCTTTCTGGACTGCCCATGTCTCCGCAGCTGGATTCACGGAGGATTTACCGGAGTGGGTGAGGAACAGGGATGTGGCAGAAGAAAGGCCCTGAAGGGGAGGCCTCATCTGCAGTTCTGGCATCGTGCAGCCAGTGCCCTCAGTCCTTGGCTTGTTTTGACAGGGAATATCACCTCTCTGCTGCTTTCCCTGTAAAAATGGAGTGTTTCACAGCCTTCGCATTCACTGCATGAACTTCCGATCTAACAGGCTGACAAGTAGCTCAGGAGGAGAATGTAAAATAAAATTGCAAAGTGGAGACCTCTATTAATTACCAAGGCATTCAGAAATGGCAGAACAGAGATCCTCCCACAAACACAGCCCAAGGGCTTCCCCACGAGAAAGTCTATCTTATGTCAAGTACTAGAAAACCCCGCAGTGCCTCCTTGCGTAGACACGCACGCACTCTCCCATGCCAAAGGAAACACAAAAGGAATCAAAATGACCTCATTTTCCTCACTTTTACACTTCCTCATCCTTTTCTCCTGTGACTGGTTTTGCAGACAGTTCTAATCTGGATTTACAGCCCAACAGCAAAGGCTGTAGCCATTTAAAAGCTGTGAGGGAAAAAAAAATGATATGGAATTGCTTTCTCTCTTCATTATGTTTCAATTCAGGAGTCCATCCCTGGATTGTGGAGGCTCCCAAAGAGTTGTGGTCTCCACTGCACAGAGAGTCATTCCTTGGTGTAGCTAGTGCCTTGAGACGGCCTCTGGATCCAACGTGGAAAGAAGAGGAATGACTGTTTTCTCTGGCTTTCCTGTCTTGTCAGTGCCTGCACTCTCCCTTCCGCTGTTGCCAGTAGCCAACCCAGGTGATGTGTACAGATTTCCAGCCTTGGAGATCTTCCAGACCAGCCTGAACAAGACCCTGACCTAACTGTGAAGTTAGTCCTGCCTGGAGTGGGAGGCTGCATCAGAGGCATCCTCATGCGGGGATCATGGAAAGGAGGCCAGTGACCCAGTCCTCAGGCCCAGGGCTCCACCAGCCCAGCAGGGCTCGGTACCCGGGCAAGCCAGCCGCGAGGATGGCACCCGGCTCCAGGCGCGAGTCTACATCACGGGCAGGATTGCGGTGAGCTAGGTGGAAAGTTGAGCCAGGTCAACGCGCAGCTCAGGCTCGGACCGTAGGGCAGGAACCGGGCTCAGACACAGCCCGGTTATTGCTGGACAGGTCCACAGTGACCACACAGATCCAAGGCCGCCCTGCTCAGCGCTGGGTGACCCGCGCGGGCCTCTCTCCCGCAGCTGATGCCCCGGCTACCAAGGACACCGGGACGCAGCCTCCGCGTGGTAGGGGACAGAGTCCCCCCGCAGCCCGCAGGGTACGTTTCCAGCGGGGCAGGAGACCCGCCCTGCGGCA